GATCAATTATATGCATTTCAGAACTACATGATTTATTATATGCATTTCACTTTTTCTTCAATACATAAGATGTACTCAAGAACTAGAATGCTGTAATGCTATAATGCAAAAATTAATAAAAATACATTGTTATTTCTCTCTTTTAACCCTTTACCTAACACATTTCTTATGTTAAAATCTCAGTTCCAGACTCTCTACAATGGCAGCATCCTCTGCATGCATAGTTGGAAACGGTTTATCCAATCGCAAACACTTTCACCTCTCTACAAGCTTACCATCTCTTGATAAAACTCCAAAACTAAGAGTCATAACAGCCTCTTTAGACAAAAAGCCACACGACCGAAGAGGCTTCCTCAAACTACTACTCGGAAACGCCGGAATCGGAATCGCAACTCCGGCTTTACTAACCGCCGGAAACGCCTATGCCGATGACCAAGGCGTTTCCAATTCCAGAATGTCCTATTCAAGATTCTTGGAGTACTTAGACAAAGACCGTGTCAACAAAGTTGATTTATTCGAAAACGGAACAATCGCAATAGTTGAGGCGGTTTCCCCGGAATTGGGAAACCGTGTTCAACGAGTCCGTGTCCAACTCCCGGGTTTATCCCAAGAACTTCTTCAAAAATTCCGTGAGAAAAACATCGATTTTGCAGCACACAACGCGCAAGAAGATTCCGGTTCTCTGTTGTTCAATCTAATCGGGAATCTCGCATTCCCGTTGATTTTAATCGGCGGTTTATTCCTTTTATCCCGGCGTTCCCCGGGCGGAATGGGGGGACCCGGTGGGCCCGGGAATCCTCTCGCATTCGGCCAATCGAAAGCAAAATTCCAAATGGAGCCAAACACCGGAGTCACGTTCGATGACGTGGCGGGAGTTGATGAAGCAAAGCAGGATTTCGTGGAGGTGGTGGAGTTTTTGAAGAAACCGGAGCGGTTCACGGCGGTGGGTGCGCGGATTCCGAAGGGGGTTCTTCTCGTGGGCCCGCCCGGGACCGGGAAAACTCTTCTGGCGAAGGCGATCGCGGGGGAAGCGGGGGTCCCGTTTTTTTCGATTTCCGGGTCGGAATTTGTTGAGATGTTTGTTGGTGTTGGAGCTTCGAGAGTGAGGGATTTGTTTAAAAAGGCGAAAGAGAATGCTCCGTGTATTGTGTTTGTTGATGAGATTGATGCAGTTGGGAGACAAAGGGGGACTGGAATTGGAGGTGGGAATGATGAAAGGGAACAGACATTGAATCAGCTTTTGACTGAAATGGATGGATTTGAAGGGAATACAGGAATTATTGTTGTTGCAGCTACTAATCGTGCTGATATTCTTGATTCTGCTTTATTAAGACCTGGAAGATTCGATAGACAGGTATGAATTGTTGTATTTTTGTCACATGTGTTAATAAATTACTAAACCTAAAACCTTAAAAAAAATGTGATGTTAGGTAATGGTTGATGTTCCGGATGTTCGAGGAAGAACTGAGATCTTGAAGGTTCATTCTGGAAACAAGAAATTTGACAAGGATGTGTCACTTGAGGTGATTGCTATGAGAACACCTGGATTTAGTGGAGCCGATTTAGCAAATCTATTAAATGAAGCTGCTATTTTAGCTGGAAGAAGGGCCAAAACTGCAATTTCATCAAAAGAAATCGATGATTCCATTGACAGAATTGTGGCTGGAATGGAAGGAACCGTTATGACAGACGGAAAAAGTAAAAGTCTCGTTGCGTATCATGAAGTGGGCCATGCCATTTGCGGGTATGCTGAAATTATTAAGTAAAAAAAAAAGAAACAGAAACAACCCTTAACTTTGAGTAATGTTTCGGATTTGGTCCTTTTGATGCAGAACTTTAACACCAGGGCACGATGCAGTGCAAAAGGTAACCCTAGTCCCACGTGGTCAAGCGAGAGGTTTGACCTGGTTCATTCCAGCAGACGACCCCACGTTGATCTCCCGCCAGCAACTATTTGCACGAATTGTCGGCGGACTTGGTGGCAGAGCGGCGGAGGAGGTGATTTTTGGTGATTCGGAGGTGACCACCGGTGCAGCCGGTGACCTACAACAGATCACTGGTCTCGCAAAACAGGTAATCATTAAAATTACAATAAATAAGTAAATAACAACATAATTTCATCCATAATCTTTTATTAGTTAATTAATTTTTTTTTTTTTTGTATTAAGATGGTGGTGACATTTGGGATGTCGGAAATCGGGCCATGGTCACTAATGGACGGGTCGGGTCAAAGTCAAGATGTGATTATGAGAATGATGGCTAGAAACTCGATGTCTGAAAGGCTGGCTGAAGACATTGATTCAGCCATTAAGAAGCTTTCAGACAGTGCGTATGAAATTGCATTAAGTCATATTAGAAACAACCGGGAAGCCATGGACAAGATTGTTGAGGTTCTTATTGAGAAAGAAACAATGGGTGGTGATGAATTCCGGGCACTCTTGTCGGAATTTACTGAAATTCCGGTTGAAAATAGGGTTGCTCCGGCGACTCCAAGTCCGGTGAGTGTATGATATAGGGTAGTTGAATTATAATGTGATTTGTATTATAAATGTTGATCATAGTTTTGGCTTTGGTTATTTGGTGGGAAATTGTAATATTTTAACTACAAGTAGTTCATACATACACAAATTAAGTTTCTACTTGTAACCATAATAGTCGAAGTACATTATGTGTTTTTTGTGTACTTTTGTCTTGATATCAATATTAAACCTTCTAATCAAGGAAAATGTTTTTTTAAAAACTGCCAAAAAAAATATTAATTGATTAGCATAGTATGCATGTAGTTAGAATGTGATAATAATCGAGAAACTTTGAGTCAAGACTTTAGACAAAAAGTTGGAACCCAATAAGTAAGATGTCTTCTATATACAATATGTATTGTTGGTCTATAATAGGTATGTCTTCGCTTGATATTGGACGAGATTTCTCATGAGATCTAGGTGAAGTGCCTTAGCGTGTGCTTTTAGCCGATGACACTGTCTAGGATTGAATTGAATGTTCGGTTAGACACCTAGAGAAACACGTTAGAAGAGGAAGGACTTAGAATCAACTCAACGAAAATGGAGTGTATATGGGGCAATTTAGGGAGAACATGATGATGAAGGGTAGATGTAAGTATAAGGGATCAAGCTCTTCTCCTAAATGAGAGCTTCAAGTATTTGGGGTTTATGTTTCATAAGGAAGGAAATGTGGAGGTACATGCCAACTGTTGCATAAATGCATGTTGGTTAATGTGGAGGGTGGCGTTTGAAGTTTTTTGTGATAGGAAGGTCTTCTTGAAACTGAAGGGGTCATTTTACATGGTGGCTTTGAGGCATGTCATGATGCATGGCTTGAAATTTTGGTCAAGAATGGAGCATGAGAGGAATATGAAAATAAGAAATTAGGATGTTGATGTTGACATGCTCGATAGGATCCCAAACACAAACACGGTTAGAGGGGCACATATCACCAAAAATTTGAGGGAATAACGATTGAGGTGGTATGAACATGTCCAACGAAGGCTACCATCAACAACGGTGAAGATAGTAGAGTTATCATGGTTGTTTGTTTTTCTAAGGCAAAATCTCTGCAGTCTGCGGATCATATCTGTAGGCTTCTACGGTAGAAGAGGTGGACAAAATATCTACAGCCTGAAAGAAGAAGACTCTTTGTTTTTGAACATTTGCAGACTGCTAGAATAAATAAAAAATCTAATTAAACTGCTATAAGACAATATTATGGTTTTTTTTTTCATATCTATATAATAGCTTCAATGGCTATTATTATAATTAAATCTTTATTTATAAATGCCACAAAGGTCATAATTGTGTCATCAAACTTTTTTATTTTAAGTAAGTATTGTAACTTTTTTATTACGCATTGTTTATCATATATAAAGTTGTAATAAATCTAAGTAAAAAAAAAAGATGTGTTTTTTTAGGCCAGAAGATATCTGAAGAGGTTTGAAGATTCTGGTCCACATTTGTGCCAAGTAGAGAACGCATAGACATTTTTAGGTATGTGGTCTTCAAAAAAAAAACAATCTGCAAAGCTTAATTTTTGTGCGTGATTGCAGACAGAAGAGGTCAAGAAGATCTGAAATCGAAAAAGAAACCGCACCTAAAAAAGTGAGAAGATATTGTGTCGCTAAACATGGAAGAGCTTGGTCTTTTCTAGAAAGTGACATTAGATGAGTAACCTAACCTCCTTTATATGTTTTGTCTCTAATCTTTATTGTTGATATACGTTCATGCTCATATGCATGTATGTATTCTGATTTATTCATGTATATATATTTTATAGCGCACATTGAGCTCCTTAAGTTTTTAAGCTCCTTAATGTGTGTTTTCAGGAGAATCAGTCAAGAAGTAAGCAGCATCAAAATCACCATCAACAACAGGAAAACAACATGATCACATTAACATTCGACAAGGAGAATGTCAGCAACCATATCCCCACCAGATGGTAAATCGAATGCTTCACGCAAGAAATAAAGATAATAGAAATTAAGTTGTCTTTAAAAAAAATATTTTGTAAGCACATTTTTGGGTAGCATTTGTAAAAATTAATCTTATAAAAGCTTAAAAAATTATTAAGACCTGGTTTTTTGATTTCTAACAAAAGAGTTGTAAATTTTGTCCCATTAATATCATCAAAACAAGTCAAATACACCCATCAAAACAAAGCAAGCTCAAGTAGAAATAACCAATGACACTCAAAAAGTCAAAATTACATTTTCAAAACATGCTAGTATACAATTGGATCTTACCAAATGAAATGACAATCTACAAAACTAACCCTCCATAAACCACTAAACCTTCCATTCATACCCCACAACACTCGAACCCATCACCCCACATGTCTATACATTTCCAGAGACATTTTCCCACCATTGTCAAAACAAGACCAATATTTCCAACTTTATAACGAGACTCCAAGAATGCACAGGCACAGCAAAGCCAAATAATGTAAAACTTTTTTCAACAAAGTTCATTTGAAAAGAGAAAAAGAAAACCTATTTATTCACTTTCACTCTCATCATCTTCTGATGTGACAGGAGTGTCAGTGGCTTCTGCAAGATTTTCAAGCATCAGAATAACTTCTGATGTGTCATCAAGGTAATATTTGGCTTTGCTAGGCTTCTGTCCAACTGTGCATGCAAACACAGTTGTGTTGACTGAAAGCATGTTTTTGGAAATTGCATTTCCAATAATTTCAAACATGTCTTCATCAGATCGATCATCACCAATGCAAAGAACAAAATCCGCTTGATTCCCGTTTTCTGCCATTGATGTAAAGATCTTCTCTGCTACCATACCTTTACTTGCTTCCTACAAACATACATAAACCAAACAAACTTTATTTCCAATAATTCAAACAGAACATGAACAATGAAATGGAAAATTAAATAAATAAATAAATGAATAAATACCTGGGGTTTGACTTCAACAATATATTGACCACTTTTAACAGCAACAGGTTCATTTGCCAATACACTTTCAAGATGATCAAGCATCTCTTTTGCTTGAGCAAATCCAAACCCTGGATCTGCATCTCTATATTGCCAAACTAAAGCACTTTCTTTTGTTTCAATGGAAGATCCATCTGTTGATTCTGTATATAGTTTCATCACAGGTTCAGCCATTTGCATCCATCCAAAATCCGTACTCTGTCCACATGTTTCCCATTCTACATCTTGAGACCTCCTGAAAACACACACACACACACACATTACTCATGACTCATCAAAAAAATACACAATAGTGAAGGGTAAAATAGGATACACACCTCATAAAGTAGCCATGTTCAGCTGCAATTCCAAGCTTCTTACAAGGAGCAAGAGCCTTGCTCAAGCTTTCTCTACCTCTTCCACTAACAATAAAAACCGTATTATTCGCATCTCCAGAAAGTCTCTCAAGAATTGAGATAACTTGTCTACTTGGTGTCTTGATAATCGAATTTTGAGGCATAACAGTTCCATCATAATCCAAAAGAATCGCCCTCTTTTTAGACTTTATGTAAGCTGTGACAATATCATCAATCGAAAGCTTCCTAAAATTAGGATCCAAAGACACAACCCTAAAACCAAACCCTAATCCAATCCCCCAACATCTTTTCCTAAAATGATCTGCACATGTTCTTTCCATATCTTGCAAGAAGCTTCTAGACCAATACCCCACATCATGCGTACTCACGTATCGATAGTGCTTTTCATGTCTCAATTGTTTCTCCGAATCACTCATCGATATAGCCTCGTTCATAGCCTCGGAAGTTGACTCAACATTCCATGGGTTGACCCTAATGGCCCCACTCAAAGAAGGTGAACACCCGATAAACTCTGATACCACCAACATACTCTTTTTCAACCCGCCTGAATCCGGATCCGGATCCGACCCGGAAACGCCTTGTCTACACACGATGTATTCATATGGAGTCAAATTCATCCCATCTCGAACTGCAGTTACAACAACACACTCGGCTATGCTGTAGTAAGCTACCCTTTCGCCTACTGATAGAGGGGTATCTATGTAAATTATGGGTTGATAACCGGGCTTACCGAATTGGTCGTTGATACGTTTGCAACTTTCTTGTATCTCGAGTTGGATTTCGTCGAAATCTATTCCGGATTTACCCCTTGAAGGGTTTGCGATTTGGACAAGAACAGCTCGACCTTGCCATGATGGATGAAGCTTGAGCATTTGTTCCATGGCTAAAAGCTTCAAGTTTATGCCTTTAAAGACATCCAAATCATCGACTCCAAGAAGAACGGTTTTCCCTTGGAATTGTTGTTTGAGTTCACTGACTCTCCATTCTTTGTCTGCTAGTTTCATCACTGATTCGATCTGTCCCATGTGGATTCCAACTGGCATGATCTTGATTCCAACTGTTCTCCCGTAGTAATCCAATCCGATGTAGCCTCGTTTGGATTGATACTCCAATCCGAACATTCTACTGCAACAGGAAAGGAAATGACGGGCGTAATCGAAAGTATGGAATCCAATTAGGTCGGAATTGAGGAGAGCTTTCAAGATTTCTTCACGAACAGGAAGTGTTCGGTAGATTTCAGAAGAGGGGAATGGACTATGGAGAAAGAATCCCATTCTTAAACGATTGAAACGTCTTCTTAAAAAAGTGGGTAATACCATTAAGTGGTAATCATGAATCCAAACGAAATCATCTTCGGGGTTGATCACTTCGATAACTTTCTGGGAGAATAATTTGTTTGCTGCAACATATGCTTCCCAATTGGATCGATCGAATCTCCCACCATGATCAGCTGAAAATGGTAACATGTAATGGAAGAGTGGCCATAACTGTTTCTTGCAAAAACCATCATAAAACTTCTCGATTAGGTTTGGAGGAAGGAAAGTTGGGACACATCCGAATCGATCCAGTAAAACTTGAGCAACATCATCTTGTTCTATAGGATCAACATCAACATTCAAGGAACCGACATATAAAACCTCCATATCATCGGGGAAACCATCCTTGAGTCTGAAAAGCAATGAATCATCGTCCCAAGTGAAACTCCAACCTTTATTATCAGGTCTTCTTTTAGCCTTTAGAGGTAACTGATTCGCCACAATAATCATTCTGTCCATTGAAAGCGAAGAAGGATTATCAGATGCAACACTGCTAGCTTGGTCGTCTTCAAGCTCGGTTATACTTCCAGGAACAGTCATTACTCTCGTCAGCTTTCTTCTCTCCTTTTCTCGCCCCATTACAGGGAAATTCCCTGAAGCTAACTCCAAAAGATTCGTATACGACCTCGACTGCATCTTTGCTTATTGCTCAAACTCAAAAGCCCTAAAGATCCCAACCCAAACAGCTCGTGAAACCCCGCACAAAAGAGCGAATTGCAATAAACACCTACAAGAGGAAACCCACCATCGTTTTGACTTTAATAACAAAAGGAACAATAAGTTTACATCGCAATCGGATCGTGTTTTATATTAAACCAGTATCTAGATTACAGAAAACAAGCTAATCAACCAAGATCGCGGATCATACGAAGATCAACATAAACAGCTAACAGTGTTTTGAGACGAATTGATTGAAATCAAACTCACTGAAATTGAATTGCGAGACTGACCTGTAGTAGTTCTGGATCTTTGGGACACTTTGGAACTCGATCTTCAAGAACGAATTGAGGATTTGAACATTAGGGTATGTGTGGGTTTGAGCTGTTGGGGGATGGGTAAAAGAAACATCTAGGGTTTGTTCTTCAATAAAGTGTAGTTTTATATGAATGAATGATATGTACAGCCAATATAGAGAGAGATATGGGGGATATTCATCAAAATAAATATAATCCGTATTCTCAAATAAAAAAATCGGTGCTATGTGTTTCTAAATTTAGGGGAAATGATTTCCATTACAAAAAAGGGTGGCATAGTGGAGGGGATACAAGTTTTGGCTTTTTAGCTAATAAAAACTTGGCTCTTAAGTACCACCAAATGTTATTCATCTAAAGTCATCTTTTAGAGAAATTTCAAACCAAAATAACAATGTCGTCTTTAATATCCTTTCGTGCCTCCAAGTCTAGAAAGAGATTTAGTGGCATGGCAAAAAAATATGTTTATCCAAAAAAAATGTAGTTTCATTCGGGATTAAAATGGCTAACATTTTGTAAGATCATAGTGGTCAAAATAAATAGATAACAAATCAACCTTGTGGAATAGAGTAATGTTCAGTCGTACTATAACCATACTTGCTTGAATTATTTTTGTTCATCTGAATTTAACTCTTTTAGGTTTAGCATCCTAAACTCGTTGAGATGGTGCTTAAATATTTTGGTAAAAGTGTATCCAAATTTTGACGCTTTCACAAAATCGGTTTAGTATCCTACAACTAGTAGATGTTTAACGCTTTCTGATAAAATCTTGAATCTGATATCGCGCTTATAAGTCCTCACTTCCGACCTAAGGCATTTCAATTATATATGTTTGGATTGATGTTCGGTTATTCTAAGACGGTTTGGGATTTGTTGTAATGATCGCCTCTTTATTTTCACTATTAATGAAATAAGAGCATTATTTTTCACTTTGTTAATGGACAACTTTGGATGCCTAGCTTCTTTACCTTTAATCTATCACTTTACAAGCATATAGATACCACTAAAGATAGAGAGGACACTTAAATCAACTCACAAACATTTGAAAAATAAGGTCTTATGTAACGATGTGTCTCATGTCAATAAAAGATGATAATGGGAGCTCTTTATAAGCCTATAATCACTTTTTTATCGTTGTTTTAAGTTGATTTGTTATCCAGTGATTTTTTTAACTTTGGACTTGGAGCGTTATAAATGATACTAGAGGTAGTTACCACCTAAGTTTAGTAAGTGGATAGGTATGTAAATCATCGAGTATTGATTCTCGATGTGTAAGTTTCTAAATGTGTTAGATTGTTGAACAACTATAATCATTTAGTTGTATGTAACACCACCTATAAAATATTATCATAAATAGCATAAATGTAGACCTTATATTTGCATTTGAAGGTAATTGGTGCATGCTAGACCCGATTAATAAACATGATACATAAATCTAATATATTAGATCGAGCATTATCAGGTGTTACCACTTTGTAGTAAAATATCATTCTTGATAAACACACTACAACTTCAATAGTTTAGACCCTAATTAGGCTCTTATATGGAAATATGTTATCTTCTATTGTGTTACCATTATGTAACACCCCAAATAAATCTTGTGGACCTTTTGTCTTGTTCATTTTCATGACATTAGTAACTTGTAAGATTATTATGTCATTTGAGCAAAGGCATTACGGAAGTATGAAGCATTATGATAATACTGAAACTACAATGAATTAATGAAAGTTGTTGAGTTTATATGATAATGGTGGCATTAGTTGTATTATAATTTGAGCAAAGGAATTAACGGAAGTATGAAGCATTAGTTGTATTATAATCAAGGTGATTTGATACTTGTGATTCTCAAGCATTATTTGAGCGGGGGATCACATGTGTTTTTCATGGTTGATTTACCATTTGAACTCATTAAATCGGCTAATCCAGCCATGAATGTTAGATAAGCGTGGAAGATATTAACATGCTATTGACATAAGTCAATAAAGGTCAACAGATCTAAGAGTTGCATAGAGACTGAAATTGGCAAAATGTTTTCCTACCTAAATGACTTCTTGATGTTATTACGGCTAATCCTCTTCACATTTTGGGGTGAAATATGGATCCTATCTTTATTTAAATAATTTTAATTGAATTGGGAAATTATTATTCTAAGGATTATATAAAACAAACTATAATGAAACTTTATTGAATGACTTCTACAAAAAAAATTGTCCGCTAAAATTTTACTGCTATAAAACCTCTAAAAGGATAAGCTCAATCTTCTCTAAATTCGTAATTTGAGAATAGTTCTCATGAATGAAAATAAAGATAATGCATTTGACAAAGCTCTTTCTGAGGTTCCTCCAGTTATTGCATTTTAGCTGTTGGAAGGAGTATGTATCAATTGTACTCTGTACATTGATAATTCTAAGTGACATGGAATTCCATTAAGTTGGGAGTTGACTATGGGTTTCATAATCAACTAGCTAACATGAACATATAATCAACTCGCTTTGATTTTGATATAAACGCCTTGGAAAGATTTATCATGGGATTGCATGGTATGTTGAGGGCCTTTTGGAACTAACATTGTGAAGCATAGAAACTTAAACTTTAAATGCTCCTATATTTTCTATCATGAAATAAAGGGGCAATAAGTAGAAATTCAGTTGCCCATGGGTAAAGGGGTAAAAGTTGGTATACCTAACTGCAACCTCAACGCCAAGGACAAAAGGAAGGCTTACACTAAGACAATTTTTGATAGACTTTTTAATTCCAAAACAGGAAGAGGACTAAGAAAGCGTATGTATCTAGTATATTTGAAAGATCTAAAAAGATACGAGCCAAATAGTATGGCATAGTCAGATATATGAATTCATAATACCACTGGAATATTCATTCCAACCCTTGAGTATAGTATTCAAGAAAAGTACTGACATTTGCAAGAATGTGCAATAACTAAATGGAAGCAAGAAACTAAATCATTTATAAGAGACTTTGATCAAGGATACCAAGCCCCTAATACTATCCTTAGGATCAAAAGACAACTCATTCTCCTAAATACTTAGTCTATGTGTAACTCCTCGAAAATCACAGCCAATTTAAACCTTTCAAAACATCCCATTTACTAATAAAAGTGTTTACAAAATCATTGTTTCCAAAACATTATTTAAAATTAGAGTCTCCCAATATCCAATAAGTAGTAAAACCAAGGATGTACAATTACACCTTCACCTTGCCACGATCTTCTGAAGAACCTGAAACCATAAACTAAAACTATAAGCACGAAGCTTAGTGATTTCCCACAAAGTACCACCACATAAACATAATAACAAACAAACATCACGTACATAGAGCCTTCAACCTGACCGGAACGCCGCACCGGCCTACAAACTATCTGGAACACTCACAAAGCCTTCAACATGACTGGAATGCCTCATCGGGCATACAAACTATCTAGAACGCTCACAGAACCTTCAGCATGATTGGAACACCTCACCAGGACTACAGACTATCTGGAACGTTCTCTGGGCCTTCGACCTGACTGGTATGCCTCTCAGGCTTGTAGTCTATCTGGGACCCCCTGGGTCTCTTGGCCTTCAATCTCGGCTGGTCTGCCTCAACCAATTAACCAACATATATCCATACATAGCATAACATAACAACATATCGATATAAACCTTATCAAGTTTGTTGATTGGTAGTACAACGCAGTACAATCTTAACCCACCTACACTACATCGACATATGCCACAAGTAAACATATAACCAGTCAACAGACAATCAGGCAGATCTACCGATCACTAAGCATGGTAACGTCCTATATACCAGGATACCGATCTAATAGGTCTCTATAGCATAACAACATACTATCATGTAACAGTATATACAAACCACTGGGTCGGCCTTGGTGCCTTCGACCCATAAGTATAGTAAGGAAGACTCACCTCTCAGTCTGATAAATAGTTGGTTAGGTCCCGACTCCAAATCTCAACTCCAAACAACACCTAACCATCCAAGTGATCAATCATAATCAAAATCCCGAAATACTCCAAATACCCTTAGGTCAAACTTGGTAAACCCTGGTCAAAGTCAAAGTCAACTGTCAAGGTCCAAAAGTCAATATTTCTTCCCAGCGAAGTACACCTTGCGTACCAAGAGAGTATGCCCAGCGTACTCTGATTTTGACCAAAAACGGGGCGTTGACCGCGTACGCGCAACATACCACCAAGTACACCCAACGTACGCAGGCCAGACTTAAAACTCCATTAAGAGCTTATTTAATTAAGTTCTTACATCTAAAACTCATATCCAAACCCAAAATGATGTCCTAAGTCATAAAGTTTCCAACTTTATGACTTTGCATGGCTATAAAGTGCATAATGTCCAAAACCCTAAGTTCTTAACCCAATAGAACAACACAACTCTTACATGGAAGGGATAGAAGTCCGAAGATCACATTTTTATAGTTCATAATAGCTTTATAATGGATAAAGTTTTTCCAACTTCATCCATTAGAATGGTCCCAACAAATAAGATTTAGTCTTTAAGTCTCAAATGGACCCAAAAGTTCATCTTTTTCAACTTAATCCATTAAGTACAAGTCTCCAACTTTCAAATCTGAATCAAAATGATGTTTAGATGGATGAAGTTTCCAACTTTATCCATAACAAGGTCACAAACTTT